AGGTGAAGGCATAGCCCAGAGACAGACAAGTTGGAAAAGGATGGACTGGCTGGGAGGGAGGGCTCACCCACCTTGTGCAGGGAAGTCCTCTCCACTAGCTGGAAAGGGGAGGGGTCTATGCGGCAGCTGTCGAAGCACACCTCCTTGCTCAGCTCCTCCTGCTCCCAAGCATCTATCTGACACAGGGAAGATGGGATCACACTCACAGGCCCCACACTGCTCCTGCCCCGTATGCCAATCTGCCCCAGTCTCCTGCAGCTCTTTCTTCCTCCTCCCAACACCCAACTGCCACCCCCAAAATTTCACTCCTCTGAGGTTCCTCATCCCCCCAACATGAGCTGGGGCCTCCCTTGGAGATCCTGGCTATGCTGTAGCCACATGAGATGCCACTGAATGAGGTGCCCCCAGCAGGGAGACAGACGGTTAGAAAAGTAGCCAGGAAGGTGAGGGCTTCCCCAGTCCTGTTTGGAGAGGATACGTGTTCCCTGTCCCTCATAGATAAGAGTTGGATGAGCTCTCGCTCCCTGGTCGTTTCAGGATAGGCTGCCCCATTTCCATGGGATGTGGGGATTATTTCTCTCAGAACGACCTCTCCTTGTAGCATTTGAGGAATTAAACTCCATCCCGGCCGCTGAAACTTCCCAGGGAGGAGACAGCTTCCAGGAGTGAGAGGAGAGCTCTGTTTCCACAGATGAGGGAGTGTGGAGAAGGAACCAGCCAGCTAGCCAGCCTCCTCGCCTCATCCAGACTTACCTCCTCTGGCTTCATTGTGTCGATAACTTCAGCAGACTCCTGGAGACAACAGAGCACAGCCACAGTCAGTGAAAGGCTTCACAGCAGAACCCAGCAGTGCAAGGCCCCTTATTCCTACTCTCAGCTGTATCACCCACTTGCAAGCAACTAACCCTTCCCCAATCATCCCTATGCTCAGAAAGTCCCCATTATACTCAGGGTTCCCATCTTCCTGATCACCCAAGCCCCCACTGTGCATGCTCCAGATACTCAGGGTCCTACCCTCCCCTGGGTGTCATTGTCACGAAGGGTGAATCTGGGATGCTTCTGGCCTGCACACTGGTGAAGGTCCTAGGGTAGTGTGGGGCTTTGCTTACTGTGCTCTTGATGCCTTTTGGACAGCCCCCTTGGTCTATATACTTTCTCAGATCTGAGCAGTTCACCATGAAGCCTGCCTCAGTACCTGCAGCTTGTGATCTGCTTCCTTCCCCAGACCAAGTGAAGAGCTCTGTGTAGCTTGAAAGTTTGTACCTTCCACCATGGGCAGCCAGTGAAGGCCCAGCTGGGGAAGGCGAGCCGAAGCCCCACCCCTTCTGCCAGAAGCCACACCCCTTCCTGTCCAGACCATGCTCCCTTCAACAACCTTCAGCCCCCCAGCCAAGTCCTGCTCGACCCCAGCTAAGGGCTGGGGCTGCTGTGCGGGGGGGCCCCAGCCTTCCATGGCTGCCAGGGAGTCCCGCGGCACAGACTCAGCCTCTCCTGGGTGGCTGGGCATTGTAGGCAGTTTTGGTTCAATAAAAGATATTACCTCATTTCCCTGGTCTCATGCAGTACTGGCAGCACAGACAGCACGTAGCCAGCAGGCTCCTCATTTCTCCATGCATGCCATGGCCTCTGGGGAAATTGCTAATCCTTCACCAGGAGCCCGGCCTCATTCATGCATCTCCCTGTCTGACAGCACTGCCCTTGCCGTGTGGCCAACACCCTCAGAGGGGCCAGCTTCCCTTCCTGTTCCCCCCCCCCCCGGCTCCCTGCCCCTAACCTGAGCAGCACTCTCCGTCTCTGGTGGCCAGTTGTAATGGCACAAAAGCTGCTGGATCAGCTGCCTCAAGCTCCAGAAATTCCTGACTGCAGGAAGAGAATGAAAAAAAGGGGAGAAAAAATGAGGACAAGTGTGAGACTAACCACAAGGCACCAGGCCTATCCCCTCACCTGAGAACCCAATGTTAGTATGAAAGGGCCTGGCCAGTAAGAACACACCGTTCCATTGCTGAGGGGTGAGAGTTGGGACAGGCAGCAATGAATCCCCCTAATACATGTAATATCCCCTAGTGCGGCAGGGGAACTAGCCTCCAGAGCGAGCCTTGGCGGGTGGCTATCCAGAGAGATTCCAGGAAGGGGCCGAAGCAGGGGGCTGTGAAAATGCTGAGGGGGTGATGACAGGAAAGCAGCGGGTGAGGAGTATGACTCACTCTGGCAGCATTTTGGTTAAAGGAGAGGGGAGACCGATGGGTGTGGCAGAGGCAGGAATGTGATTGGGCAGCGGGGACAGAAAGGGCAGGATGGGGTCTGGAGGTGCTGTCATAGACAAAGCAGCAAATTAGTTTGTCACCAGTCTGAATGTGAGGGGTGCAGGAAAGAGAGAAGTCAAGGGCCTGGGGCTGGGAGTGGAAAGCACCATTATGGGCCCTGCTGGGAAGGGGAGGAGGGGAGTGCTGATATTGCTATGCAAAGTTAAAGCTGGTGGTGGAACAGCCAGAAATTAATGAGCAGGGGAGCTGACAGCCATGCTGGGTCCCTGGGCAAGGGGTGTGTGTGTGTGGGGAGGTTTGGGGTATGTGTGTATGTGGGGGGAGGGCCTTCGTGTTCCTGGAAGGGGCAGGGGCTCAGGCAGAAGGGGTGAGGCTATGGCAGCCAGTCTGAAGCGTGCCAAATTGCCCCTCCTTCCCCAGACCCTAAAGCCACCCTGAGCACACTCTGAAGTGCTCCAGTTGCAATTTAAAGGGCCCAGGGCTCTGGCCATTGCCACTGACATAGTAGCACCAGGCCCACCAATGCGGGGGACGGGGACAAAGAGGGCAATTGCACAGGGGCTCAGTGGACTGGTCCTTTTAAATAGCACTGTTGTAGCAAGGTGGCAGCAGTTGTGGGGAGCCCTGGAGCTCAGATCGTTGGAGCAGCAGAGTGAAAGGGGGGCCCAGGGCTCCCTGCTGTTTTAAGTCCCGCTGAGGTCAGATCACCAGAACGGTGGCAGTGCAGGGAGAGTGGTGGGGGGAGCAGGAGCTCCCTGCTGTTTTGACTCCCCACCTGTGTCCGTGGAGCATCAGGGGAGTGGGGCAAAGTGAGCGGAGCAGGGTGAGCCAGGCTGGGAACGAAAGGGAGGCTCCAGGCTGGGAAGACAAGGCTGGGGGTAGAGCCAGGCACTGGACTGCAGGGAGCAAGGGCTGCGAAGGGGCAGAGGAACTGGGCGGGGAAGGCAGAAGAGTGGAGTGGTGCAGGCCGGAGTAGGCAGGGATGGCTGGGAGAAAGTAGCTGGGGTAGGGGGGCACAGAACTGCTGGGGGAGGGAAGGCAGAGATAGAAAGGAGCTTGGGGGGGGCACCT